CAATAATAAATTCAAATAGGGATTGTTGAAAGAGATGGGCATTAAGCATATAGTATATATTTTAAAATTTTATAAAAAATATTTCGTAAAAATAATTTGGAAGACTTGAATTTTCTTAAATTTTAACTTTTTTAACATATATTACTTGTTAATAATGACGCAAATGATAATTTATTTGTTTATTGTCTTGCATTTCTTAATTAATTTAGGCAATGCAGAAAATTATGAAGTTGTGTTTGGCCGGGACTTTAAGCCCTCTAAAATTAATGTAATGGTCGGAGACGAGGTAGGCGTTATTTAATTATTTAAAAAGAGTTCAATAAAATACATTTAATATATACAGATTTTGTTGTATATTGCTTGTCTGTCAGATAACATTTATTTTGAGCAGCAAAAGATATAGTGACGTTTTGCTTGCCGAAGCAGATGAAAATAATTCTTGTCGACCATCTTTGGATAATTCACGTAAATAAATTTAATATAAATTCATTATTAAGCAATTATTTTTTATTAATATTTTTTTAAAAAAAAAATAAAAATTAGATTTTAAAAAATTATCCGAGACATCATCGTCAGTTACGATTACACCTATAGAACCCGGCTTGTTTTACATAATTAATGATTTTTGTAGTTCGTGCGTAATTAAAGTAGTCGGCAAAAATGGTGGTGGTGATAATAACAACTGTAACAACAGTAATAATAAGAATGGTGACTATAATTGCAATCAAGGTACTGTTATTAATTTTAATTTTGGTGGTTCAAGTGGTTCCGCAAATATTGGAGTTACAAAAGCTATGATCGCTATGACTGTATTTATTGCTTCATTATACATTAATATGTTGCAACTAGTATTTTAATCATGTTAAAATTTTATAGCTTAACTTTTGTACAATAAAAAATTGTGAACAAATTAACGCAGAAAATTTACATTAAATTTTGTATTTGTATAAAGTATTAAATTATTTTAATTTTTTGAATATATATTAGTAATAAAGATATCTTTCAAAAATATTCAAAAATAACAGATATTACATTTAGTTAAAAAAATAGTTCAGATCGAATATAAAATATCGTAAAAAAAAAATATCTAATATTAAAAGTCGTACAAAAAAAAATTGTAATTTATTTTACAGTTCCTATAGTTGTCACTCATACTCACATTAAATCCTGATACTCCTGATACAAATATAGTAATACGTTTTTGAAAATGGGTAAAAATTTAAGTTTGGATTAAGAGACTTTTTGAAACTTTTTATTACGAAACGTATCCGAAAAAAAAAATGTACTATGAAGCGGAAATTAGATAGAAGTTTAAATTATTATAGACCTTTAAATAAATTTTAATAATCTCACCCGAGTTGGATGATTCGAAATTGATCTATTATATCTTCGTTTTTTTCAAACTAGAGATTATGCTTTTTTTTCGAGAGTACTTGTAACAATGTTGATAAAAAAAAAGTACTCGTGTAACATAAAATTATAAAATGTCGTTTCCTTTTAAATTGATTAAAGATATTTATCATTCCGATTTGTTCGACCATTTTCATCACCGTTAATATATTTTTTTGTCTTATCATTCTTACTAGTTTTTATAATTTTAGTTCTTAAGATAATTTTGAGCACATGACTGTGATCAGTCAAGTGACCAATTAAAAAAAAATTTAATAAGAATTTAGATTTCCTCAATTTCTATTTAACTTTATGAGTTAATTTTGATTATATTGTGGCATATGTAGCAGGATTAAAATATTTCCAAACCCAAGAATTTAACTTTTTTTTAGTTTTTAATGAAGACACAATTTCTTTAAGAATAGCTTTACGCTTTTGACTTCTACGTTATGACATAATATTTTTTTTTTTTTTTTTTGTAAACTTTTTAATTAATCGGTTAACCATTAAATAATCAATTATCCGATTAATATTAATCGGTTCCAATCACTAATGTTGATTTTATGTCTTTTAGTGCGACCGATTTCTCTAGAGTCATTATCATTTAGCATTTTCCAAATGATGAAAATTAGCGGGAGATCATCGGCATTTACGAATGGCGCAGTAGCTGCGTAAAAATATTGAAAATGTCGATAATGTCAAAAATGTCATTTATATTAATCATATCAATTATGTGTTAAAATAATTATACTAGTTCCGTTTTTACATTTGTTTTATTATATATTTTTATTAAATTTTTATTTTTTATTTTAAATTAGTATTTAGAAATTTTGTATATAAACCCCGAAATCCGCTTTGTTCAAAGAAAGAAGGTTGACGAGTCTAGAGAAGAGACGTCCGAAATCTTGAGTTAATAAAATTCCAAGTTACACTTTCAAACCTTTATCGTGTCTCCATATAGACTGACTAATAACCAACTACACAAAGAATCGTATAAAGTAAATATTTGTATAAATCTTTCTTA